TTAACATTTGGATCCTCGTTACTTACTCACGCGAATTTCTTCAGAGGCTTAAATTTCCTCACAAAATGGGTTTCTGTTGTTTCATCAGGCTGCATGTTTTTCAAACTTTTATGCTCTGTTTCTTTTTTAAAACTGTATGCTTTTAACAGTATCCAGGTCACCTCTTGAATGCTTTCCTGCTTAGAAATTTCTTCTGCCAGACACCCTAAGTCAACTCCTTCAAGTTCCAAGTTTCACAAATCTTTCGCAGGGGCAAAATGCTGTGAGTCTTTTTTCTAAAATATAGCAAGAATCACTTTTACTCCAGTTTCCAACAAGTTCCTCATCTCCATCTGAGACCACCTTGGCCTAGATATCATTGTCCACACTTTTATCAGCATTTTGATCAAAGCCATTCAACAAGTCTCTAGGAAGTTCCAAATGTTCCCACATTTTTCTGTCTTCTTCTGAGCCCTCCAAACTGTTCCAACCTCTGCCTGCTACACAGTTCCAAAGTTGCTTCCACATTTTTGAGTATCTTTACAGCAGCACCCCACTCTACCACTACCAATTCATTGTATTAGTCTGTTCTCACAGTGCTAATAAAGACACAACTGAGACTGCATAATTTATAAACAAAAAGAGGTTTGATGGACTCACGGTTCCACATGGCTGGGGAGGCTTCACAGTCATAGTGGAAAGTGAAAGGCATGTTTTATGTGATGGCAGACAGGAGAGAAAATGAGAACCAAGTGAAAGGTGAAACCCCTTATAAAACCTTCAGATCTTGTGAGACTTACTCAGTATCATGAGAACAGTATGAGGGAACTGACCCCATGATTCAATTACCTACCACCAAGTTCCTCCCACAACATGTAGGAATTATGGGAGCTGTAATTCAAAATGAGATTTGGGTGAGGACACAGCCAAACCATAGCAGGCCCCATCAGTAATGTCTTTTTTAGACTTCTGAATCATGGGAAACTGCAAATTTGAGTTAGGTATAATACAGTATGACATATTAAGGAGACTTCATCGCCAATTAATAATTAACTACTAATGCTTATGAACTTCCTTGGTATATGGCCTTTGCTTGGTTCTACAATGTGTCATGTTTCCTGTTCTAAATGTCAAGGGAGTCTCCATGCTCTGTGCTTAATTTTCATGCATAGGCAGACAAATTTGTCTTCTCAAAGGGTTCAAAATTGTCAAGTCCACTTCACTCAGCTTCTGGTTGTTCAGCGATATTTTCTGGTAGAGATTTGTAAATAGAGATACAGACTCACAAGTTTGGTATCATAAAAGGTATTTGAATAATTGGTATGGTCATATAAAAATTAAATACTAGAAATACGATATACACAGAATTGAAGCTTTTAGATCAAATCTAACAACATGGGGAAATAATGACCTAAAGTTTTTCTAGATTTTCCTAAATTTACTAATAAATAATTCAAGAGGTATTATTTTCTCCATTTACTTCAAATACCAATTGGTAAAATTGCTCCCACATTCTACCTCTTGGCCCCCACCCGCAACCTCTCAAGGAGCTATTACATTATAAGTAAATACTAGGTGGTTAAAATTGCATTCATGTATATTTGCATAGTAGGCAGTTAAATCAGGTCCATTACTGTGTTCTATGAAACGACATAATTACAGACCCTTCAAAGTGCATATCATTAACTTGGTGCATGACTACCTCCAAGCAAACATGCTGCAGATGAGTTGAGTCAATATTCACCTGGTATTTTTTAGCTCTCAGTCTTGGGAAGAAGTAAAATACAGAGGCTTCTGGGTATATGGTAAGGAAGAGCTGAGCATTTAAATTTTCCACATAATCATCTAAGAATTCAAATATCCACTTATTGAATACCCTGTTTTATATCATTATATGTATGCAAAATATCCAATGATGTCTTGAATGTCATTTTGCCTATATTTGATTAATATATATGCATGTGTGTATATTTATATATATACACATATATAAATACATGTATACATATATAAATATATTTTTATTTGTATAAATATATATACACACACATACATAACAAATATATGCACAATGGCATTCAGGACATCATTGGATTTTATATATCTGTATTATCTATAGTAGCCAGCATTGGGATAAGCCAATTGATAAATCAGAATATAAGTTTATTTAATTAAAATAGAAATATACATTTCCAGTGCATCCACACCTAAACCCACAATATCCACCTTGCTACTAGATATGTTCCCCTAAATTTCTAGAGAACTGGATTAGTCTGTATAGGATTCCTTGGACATTCTGGAATAAGAGCAAAAGGATGTGAATAGAGTTAGAGACTTGAGTGCAGACCTAGACAAAGCTTGGAAAGCATCTTTACCCCACAACAGTATACACCTTTCTAATTTGCAGACTCTTCTTATACCCACAATTGATGCATACTTGCTTTAGAAGCCTGGTAAGTTAGATTGTTTCTCCCATGGTACCACCTTCTCCAGTTAAATATGGCTCTTTTTCCAAGAGATAGAGATAGATCTGTCCTCCTTCCGACTTACCAATGCCACGTCCAGACCAGGACTATTATCACAGACCACCCATCTTGATCATTGCTGCACCCTTCGTATTCCTATTGTACCTTTCCCTCTTTCATTAAAGAATGAGTACATTGTCTTCTTCACCCCAAGTCTTACCATCAGTGTTGGCAACATCATTCTCCACATGTGTAGATCATACAACTACCTGGCCTCCATCTATGACCTCATTTTCAGAAACTCACCTCCACCCCACCTGAGCCACATTCTCTCATCTCTGAGCCCACCATCAACAGACCCTGCTCCATTAATGAACTATTGAATTGAAATGTCCCACTGTAATTATCATTTTCTCCCATTCTATCTTCAACCTCCTGCCTCACTGATTCATTGATGTCCATAATACCCATATAACAAAACCATAGGCTAGATCAGCTCGGACATTGTTTTTTCTTCCTTTTTTTTTTTTTTTTTTTGGAGACAGCGTCTTGCTCTGTCATCCATTGTTGGAGTGTAATGGTGCAATCTTGGCTCACTTGTAGTCTCAAACTCCTGGGCTCAAACAATCTTTCCACCTTAGCATCCCAAGTAGCTGGGACTACAGGTGTATGCCACCATGACCAGCTAATTACAAAAAAATATATATGTTGGAGAGACAGGGTCTCACTATTTTGCCCAGGCTGGTCTCAGACTCCTGGGCTTAAGCAATCCTCCCACCTCAACCTCCCAAAATGCAGGGATTACAGGCATGCGTCGCTACGTTTGGCCACGTGTTTTCTTTACGTTCACAGTCCTGGACACAAAGGAATGACTGACTGGCAGCACAGTCTGATGGCAGCTGATTGTTTCTGAGAATTGTACCACACATTCTCAAATGCACAAAGACGTGGTGCGTGAAACTAGATTATTGCCCTTGAAACTCATTTGAGCCTTCAGCCCTTGTTTGACTCCTATGCTGCGCTCTCTTTCCTTCTCTGGGAGCCATTTCAAATTTTCTTAAATTCTTCTAACTTGACATTCATTATTTTTACGGACATTTTTACTTCTTCAAAGACAAAACAAGTCCCATCAGGTGGGAACCACCTCCAGTTCCAGTTGTCATTCTACAGCCACACTTGGTAGACCATTTCCTTTCGGCCTTGTTTCTCTGCTTTCCCTTGCTTCTGACTCCTGTCCAACAATATTTCATCAAGTTTAAATCACTCCTCAATTAGTAATTAAAAAGGAAACAAGGCAGTTTTTACTCCAAGCGTTGATAACCCCATTAAAATCTTCCTATTTCCCTCTTCACTGAAGCCAGATTTTTCATTCTCCTATTCCTTTATGTTGAGGTGAAATTCAAATAGCATAAAATCAACAATTTTAAAGTGAACATGTCAGTGGCTGTTAGTACATGGACAATGTTGGCCAACCATCATCTCTGTCAGTCTCCTAAATATTTTCATCATCTGATAAGAAAACCAAGTATCCAGTCAGTTATTGGATACTTTTATTCCCTATTCTTTTCCCCAAGCCTCCGGCAACCACCAATCTATTTTCTGTGTGTGTGCATTTACCTGTTTGGATATTTCATATTATATCAAATAATGCAATGTGTGATCTTTTGTGTTTGGTTTCTTTTAGTTAACATGAGGTTTTCATAGTATATTCATATGGTAGTACATAGCAATATTTTTGTGGCTAAATAATATTCCATTGTTTATGTGTGTGTATACATACACACACACACACACACATTCATATACACATTATGACACATGGGAGTGTGAGGTCATTGAACCATGGGTCTTTCCTGTGCTTTTCTAGAGAGTATAATGTGATACCTTACTATAATTTGGCAACTTAGGGGATCAGATTCTCTCCCTCTCCAGAGTACACTATTGTTGATATTTTATGGCTATAGATATCAATTTATTCAGTTACTTTTCTGAACTATATTCATAAATACTGTATTCCTTGTCATTTGTGGTCACTGAAGTTTCTGCTGTTATCTCAGTAGTCAGCCATTGACCTGACCGAAATGTTCTTAAACTATACTCTTTTTTGTTTTTGAGACAGGTCCTCACTCTGTTGCCCAGACTGGAGTGCAGTGGTGTGATCATGACTCACAGGCATGCACCAGCACACCCATCATATTTGTTTTGTTTTGTGTAGAGATGCAGTCTTGCTGTGTTACCCAGGCAAGGCTCAAACTTCTGGGCTCAAGCAGTTCTTGTGTGTTGGCCTCCCAAAGTGCTTGGACTGCAGGTGTGAGCCCCCATGCTCAGCCAGAATGATTTTTTTCAAGGCTGCCTATGACTCTGCCATAGTCTTTACTTACCATTTGCATGGTGCCTACAGATCAGCCAGGGGTGGAAACCTAGGGGCCTCTCCCATCTGTTCTGAGCATGTTTTGGGTACCAGGCATTTTGTATTTCATGCTATCTTCTCTAGCATATGTGATGGCTCTTGGAACTCTTGTTATCTCATTAACCTTCTTTGGTCTCCTCCTTCCCAGACCCAGGTTCTGTCTGTTGCTTTTCCCATCTGATGTCCCTTTTCCAAGTGCACATGAGGTATGTATGTCTTTAAATATTTTCACAGCCACTTCTAAAGCCTAGGTAGCCACTCCATACCAAGTTGTTAGGGTGGGAATGGTGATGAAACACTTGTCAGCCTCTACCATTCTCTCAGGGGACCACCAGACAAACCAAAATGCACAACCACAGTATTTTAGGAACAAGGTTTGTATTAATACCATGGCATAAACAGGCTAACAAGGAGCACAGGCCACTTTCTCTGCAGCTGCTACAGCTGCAGCCCCACAATGGGGTTGGTATTCAGAGAATGGGGAATGGTATTCAGGTGGAGGAAATTGCCACAATGTTCTCTCACTGAATTTCAGCTGCCCTTGAATGGATTTGACTGAACTTTGACTCTCTCTTGGAATTTCCAATATTTTATTTTCCCAACACAGCTATATTCTGTGTAGTTTTTCCAAAGAGTTGAATTTGCAAGGGTTCTATTAGGACTATTTATAGATTTACTATCCCCATTTATTCTCTGTTCCTCATTCTCATTCAATCTCTGTTGCTATGGTCTAAATGTGTCCCTTCCTTATTCATATGTGGGAACCTAATCACCAACGCAGTGGCACTAGAAGGTGGGGCCTTGAAGATCTAATTAGCTCATGAGAGTGAAGACCTCGTGAATGGGATCAGTGCCTTATAAAAGAGGTTGCAGAGAGCTAGATAGCCCCTTCCACCACGTGAGGATACAGCAAGAAGTTGGCAATTTGTAATGGGAAAGAGAGCCCTCACCTGAATCCAAGCATGTTGGGACCCCAGTCGTGGACTTCCAAGCTTCCAGAACTGTAAGAAACAAATTTCTGTTGTTTATAATCTTACCAGTTTATGTTGTTTTGCTACAGCAGCCCAAAGAGATAAAGATACTTATCATTATCTCTATTAATTACTTCTATCTGTGAGGATGCTAGATCAAAAGTAATCAACGTGGAGTTTGAAAAGTTGTTGCCTGTCTATATTGGCATTTATATTCATTTATTTTTGGTTTCTAAGGCTAAAATTTCTTTCCTTTTTTTTCTTCCTTCTTTTTTTTTTCCCCTTGATAGTATATTGGGAATAGTACAGTGAGTAAGTTCTGTAATATTTGTTAAAAAATAGAACAAGAGACTCAGTAACTTTGTGAATCATCTCATTACTTAAACCTTCAACATCTCAACAGAAAGAAAGATAAATATTGCAAAAGAGAGACTTATCATGGATTGAGTAAGAGCTTGAGTAAAGACTCATGATTATAGAACAAGAATTACCATAAAGGAAACTATCCACTGAAAACCAGATTGCCTGAATTTTGCACTATTACTTTTTTCAGAAAGCACGTATCTTTATTTATAGATCTCAAAGATGTGCACTTCTCTCCCTGCAGTTCATTCTTGACCATACTGATGACTAGGATGCTGTCCAGACTTCAGACTCTCACCCATCATTCTGGCCATTTTCTTTACCCATTCTCTGTCATCATAGTAGTCTCTCCCCACTCTGCAATTTTTCCCATCACTCTAATATTTAACATAGGCATCAGGGAGCCTGATTGCAGATTGTTCACTGCTGGCACACTGGGAAAGTCTTATTTCCATGGTAAGCATCTTGGATTGCTCCAAGACAGGATTTATTTTTAACATTCCACATTGCACATTGTTGGCTCTCCAATATCTTCTGGCAATAAGATGCCAACAAGACAGAACACATAAAAAAGAAGAAAAACACCCAAACATTTATTTCCCCTTTTCTATGTTTTCCCCAAGCCAAGTTTGGAATGGTCTAAAGAGGGTTTTTTTCTTTTCCTTTTTCTCTTTGCCTGGATCTGGCTGCTGTGAGGCACCTTTTTGGATTCAGGCATTTTCCTGTTGGCTTGTCCTGGGGTACCTACCATTGAAGTCTAATACATTTTACTTATCCAAGATACCACTGCTTAAGGGAGAAACAACCCTTTGGTTGAAGAACAGCAGGCTCTACTGCTGTTTTAAAGATTTTAAATATTCTGTCTGTTGAGTGTAACTAGACACATAGCTTTGGATTTATGGCTTTACTGAGTCTTTAGCCCATTGTGACCACCTCCAAGTCCACAAAAATAAAAATGTCAAATGTGGTTGTAGTGGTTCTTTACTGTGTAAGGTGAATCACTACAAGTGGAAGGCAAGTGTTTGGTCTTTGGAGGTGGTTGTGAGCAACAAACCAGAAGTGTCTGCTAAAAGTCTTGAGTTTTTCCTTGAAGAGAACTGCTCCCTGGAGAAAGTTTAAGTATACAATTCATCAGTATTACCATGAGTCACTTCTCCTTCGTGTCCCCTTTTCTTCCATCATGGCAGACATGCAGTGATAAGTGTGTGAATATTTGCAATGCATCTTTCCCCACTCCAAACATCTCAGGTCATTATCACAAAAGCAGTTGTGTTTTGTAGATGAATTTTCCCCAACAGATAGTGCATGGGCTATTGGATTCACTCCATGGTTTCACTCCAGACTCAAAGCAGGTGTGGGCTTGAAAATGAAAGAATATAGAATATACTTTATCTGTTTTTTTTTTCTCCGTAAAAAGGAAGAAGAAATAAAGTAAGTTCGATTTACTCTAAAAAATTAGCTAGTTGGGGATAAGTATTAAAAGATGGAGGTGTGTATGTAGAACTTAACGGAGACTTTGAGTTAGAAAGTGAGTTGGCAGACAGTGAGAAGTAAAATTAGTGGAGACTCGAATGCTGGGAGAACATCCTCTTTGTGTTTCCAACAGATTTCAGAAATCTAGAAACATATAAAATCCCCTCTAATTTTTTTAAAGCATCAAAGGCCAAAGCAAACCAAACAAACCTGTGTGTCACATACACAAACACAGTACATTTGAGGTACATTATGTGAGCACTGCTGAATAATTTTCTCTATTAAAAATGACGACAAAGTCCTGCTCTGATTTATTTGAGATTAAGATGTGGAGATGTGGGGGTCAATTTTAGTAAGCCCCATTAGAGCCAGTCTGATGTAAGAAGATCAGGAGCCAACATTCACAGGCTACACAAAGGAAAGATTTATTAGGCAGCCAGAAACCCAGACAACTAGCAGGTTTGGCATTATTCTGCTCACCGCAGTAGAAATTACCCAAGACTTCGTTAATGCCTGCTTGGTTGCAAATGTCTCACTGCTGCTTATACAGTGCTCCTTGGGCAGTGATTTTCATTTGGAAGAGCTATTGGCAACACATTTTTTTTTAAAAAAAGAATAAACTGCCAAACAATATGCTCATCACCAAGTACCAATGATGACAGCACAAGCAAAATAAAGGGATTAAAAATCATCTGATAGCCACTTAATATTTTTGGCCAAGAGGGTTCCTTCCATAGATGTTTATAGATAGAGTCTTTATGCCTTTGCCATAACTGTCTTTTAATTATTTTATTCCAGAAAGCACCAGTTACATTTGCTGTAGCTTAGATAATTATTCCTAGTCCCTAGTGCCGAGTAGTTGTACTTTACTTTCGTGACCAATAACTATTCATTGAATGAAGGCATGAGAGTATACCCATCCCCATATTTTTGCTCTTGAAGGCGTTGAGTACACTTCAAAGATCCCAGCTCAAGTGCTAAGGATAATCCATAACCTTAGCAAACTCAAGCTCGGTTTCTATTTTTTAATCTTCCATTTACTTTGTGGCACCAGTCTCTGTATTGCCAGGTTTATACTGAGAAAGCGCAATTAATGTTTCAGTTAATCAAGAGAACATCTCTTGGTTTTGCCTCTCAAAAACCCTTTCCTCTTTATTCTTGAAGACAGAACTCTAGTTTTCTTTTGTTAGCACCATCCCTGCTCCACTCTCATTAGATGTGGTTTGGGTATGGCTATTGCATCAATCCCTGCATCCCTTCAGTGATGAATGAGGTTAGGCTCTGTTGCAGACTATTGGTGCTCTGCCTATATCCCTTCAAATACACCTTCCATTTCCATGTGTACAATTTCAGCCTCCATCAACTAGCAAAAGCATGATTGCTGGACAGCTGCCTTCATATTGATGAAACCTTCTTCTCTCATGCACAAGGCAAGTGGAAAGTGCTTGGGGGATGGGGAATCCCTCTGGAGGTAGCCCTTAGCTAATATCTGATGGGCATAGCAATATAAGTACCCCGAATCTCTCACTTCTTGGCAAGGGTAATTCTTAGGTATTTGTTTTGCCAGAGACTAGTACTGCAAGGCTAAACTACAATATTTCACTGGTATCTGATTTAACAATACTGCTTAGATTGGCTGACTTCCCTCTCACCCACCTGTGTTCCCTGCAATTTCCAATAAAGTGTTTTGACTGGAATCCTTGGCTCAAGGTCTGCTTCTGTGGAAACCTGAACCAAGATAAAAACCAAAATCTGGCACATCAGATTATTCTGTCTTCTGGCTTCAGTGACTAATTTTGGAGACCCAGGCCTTTTCCTGGAATAATTAAATAAGAGGGGATTTCTTTCTGTTGGGAGTCCTTAGTATATGAAATCTAAGCTGGTACTTTTCCATATCTTTTCTAGTACACAAGAAGAGCCTTTTGTGAGAACAAAGCTAACACTCAAGAAAATCATTTCAAGGAATAGAGAAGATTTTCTTGATGGATTCAGCCATACTGGAAACTCTGATCTACCTCCAGGCTTTTCAATTATGTGAGTCCACTTTTCTCACCATTTTGAAACCCAGGTTGAGTGACGTTTCTGTTTCTTGAAACTGAAAGAGTTATGACGAATTTAGGTATAAACTAGAAGATTCTATCTTGGCCTCTTCTCAGTGTTGTACTGGCCAGCAAGATGGGGGCTTAGTAGTACAGTTTTTCCATTTATGCATATGGTGGTCAGCTGTTGGCTCAAAATTGTAGTCGTGGTCTATGGTATCTGAATACTGAGGAATTTATCTTTTCTGTTTTTACCCAATAAGTTGAGAGGCTACACTTCAAATTTCAGTGGAATAGAGGGAAGAATGTCTAAAATATCTTATTACCTTTCTTCTTATGTAAAACTTTTTGGAGGAGATAGGCAAATGGTCTTTGAGGGCAAAGAATTATGTAGTAGTGAATAAATTCGTTCACATGAGGTAACTGATTGTCTTACATTTTGCTGTGTAAATTGCAGGCTGCATTTTTTGTTTTAATTAAGCAATGCCCGAAATTTTTTTGTGGCATTTGCCTTCCAGGATTGGAAACCTACACACATCAGCTTTGTGCATGAGAACCAGAAATTAAAGCTGACCACAGCTAATGGGAACCTGCTCAGGCCCACTTTATAGGCTCTACTGAGAGAAGTGCAAAGGGAAAACAGGCTAAGTGAACAAGGAAAAATACAAGTCTGCCTTCTCAATAAGTTTTAATAATGTATAATCCCACATAAAGTAACATATGAACAGAATTATAAATTCTCTGTTGCTTACTTTTCTCCATTTAGGACTTGTTAAGTACCCAAAGGGAATTGCTGGACCTTTGTATTTTTAATTCAACTTCAATGTCTTCAATTAGAGCATGCTGTCCGAATAAGTAGTACTCTTCAAATACATGGTTGAGAATGACTAATGCTAAATCTTGTGGCATCTGTACCCCAGTGAAGATTTAGGGGCTGAGTATTCTTGAAGGAGTCTTTGTTGGCAAGGTAGCTTCTTCTGGAATGATCGTTCAAGTGTGTACAATCTGGCTATCGTGTGAACAAATGGACATCCAAGACATAATTGTCATGGTTCTTAGCCTTTTTCAATGATCTCAGGAGATAGCTTCTGCTTCCACCATTGAGTCTTTTGTTTGGGGTTCTACCTCATTTTCAGGCTTACCTTTGAAGAGTTTATAAGACAGTTGTTTGAAGGTATACAGCACCCGCTAGGTGTTGGCATTTCTTCACACTCAGGACAGGCACCAAATATGCAGAGAGAAAACTTTTATTAACAACTACAGTGACCCAAGGCAAAAATGTGCCAAAGAATGTATTCCTTTTAGCCTGATCTCTGCAGCCTGCTCTTGTCTCTGGAGGTTGTTTAGGAATTTTACTCAGGGGACTGGTGGCCAGCTGTAGTTGTGTGTGTTTATTTTTTAAAGCTTTCCTGTTTACTCAAACGGCTCTCCTACATTGGAGTTTCTCAATTGCATGTTGTGGGCCCTATCCTAGGTTTTTCACTCTCCCTCTTTTTCTATAACTGAATCTTCCTGAAGATGAGTTCCTTAGAAAAGGTAAGAGTCCCAAAGCCAAGGTAAGAAGTTAAAGAGTTGTTTGTAATTTAGTTGCAAATATGTAGAGTAGAAAGATGCTGTTTTAAGTTATCCACTGATATATAACAAACCACCCCAAAATTTGATGCATTAAAAGAAGAAATTCTTCTGATGTTTCGAAAGAACTGAGTAGAGCATGTCTATTTATCTACCTATTACCTCTAACAGGGAAGGGAGGGAAGTCCTGGGAGATTTCAGTTTCAACTTTTTTCAAGATTATGTAGGTCATGAAGATGGTTCTTCTGTTGGTTTCACAAGAGTTCACTCAAGTGGCTGTATTTATCTGGTGAGTTAGTTAAAACTGGAGGCTCTACCATGGCATCATCCTTCACAGTAATAAAAGAAAAATGCAGATGGCAAATACAGGCAAAGTCTCTGTTAACTCTTTTCCTTGAAGTATTAGCACATGTGAGCCTGGGAAAGATAGCTCAAGTGTATCTGTCTTACTCTGATTTGGGGAATAGAGGAATGTCCTGGCTGAGGCATCAGGTCAATTGAAGAGTATTTATGTTGTTGGAGATATTGTAATATACAGCCTCATTCTAAACTTTAAGCAATGGTGAGGCCCTGCAAAGGAAAAAAATAGCTGGCTGGAACAAGATGGCTTGATTTTTTCTGGTGGATTAGAAAAAGGAGTGGAATAGTAAATGAAAGAGTTAACAATTGGCTTTCAAAACATCCCCAACCCTCTGCTTTGTAGTATTTATTGATTTCCATTGTACAAACTGTGGCTAATGTCAAGCTTCCATTCAAGTTAAGAAGGCACGTGCACAATGAACTCTTGAAATCCTGTGCAGGCTTGCCCTAACATACCAGCTGTTCAGGAAGAATGAAAAGAGAGAGAGAAAAAAAAGTAAAACAGTATCAAGACATAGAAAAGAGAAGTTCTCTGGTTTCTAAAACACATGGGTGAAACGTGAGTATAGGGATGGAAGATGGAACAGAATCATTGGTGAAATCCTCTGCTGTCTACATAGGAATACCTCAAGTGTTCTTAAAATGCATGCACAGGCCAAAATGCACCAAAAGAAGAAAGAAGTAAGAAAGAAAAAAAGCAATACAATAGTAAAATTTAAAGTGTTCAGTTTGGGCCTGAAGTCATTGTTAAAACATGAAGTAGACAAATCAGTCACTAGGTTTGATTGCCTTATCAGTCTAGAAGGTTTGACCTGAGGTGAGTATGTGATGTAAAATGAGTACCATGTTGAAGGATGTCTAATGGGATTGATAGAATGGAAAGAGCCTGATGAAGGATTCAGGAATCTGGACACAGCTCTGGCTCTCTTATTCGTCCAACACTATGACCTTGAACATTTGGCCTACACAAGTCATACATTTTTGTCATTTTTCTATCTATCTTTGCTGAGTAAATGTATTCTTCTGTCTTCCCCTTCATTTAAAACTTTGAGTTCAGGATATTGAGACTGGCCTGGCTACATGATAAGACCTCATTTCTACAACTAAAAAGTTTTTAAAACGTTATACAGACATGGTGACACACTCCTGTGGTCCCAGCTACTCTGAGGGTTGAAGTGAAATGATCACTCATATCTGGGAGGCTGGGGCTGTAGTGAGCTGTGTTTGAACTACTGTACTCCATCCTGAAAGACAGAGTCAGACCCTGTCTCACAAAGAAAAAAAAAAAAAGACTGACTTTGCCATGTTAATAAAGGCAGTGACAGAAATGCTGCCCCTGGCCTGGCAGATCTGCCTTTAATGACTCAAGTGGCTGCTTAATGATATTAGCAAAGTCCATTTATTCGTGCAACAAATATATATGCCTCTATTTCTTCAGCCTATGCTTTTATGGCTACCTTTGTAGTTTTTGTGAGTCTCTAATTCCATGGTGTTTTGGTTTAGTGCTTGACCCACTGGATAAAGAAACAGCTGTATGTATATAAAGCCACTCAACTCTGAAGAATGCTCATTCTTCTGACCTTTCAAAAGAACCGTAAGAAGAGTAGAGTACATCTATTTATCTACCTAATGCCTCTGACAGGGAAGGGAGGGCAGTCCTGGGACTACCGAAATGTGTTTTAAAGGATATCATTTGGAAAGCGATCTCAAAAAGACTTAGTTATCCTTTGCCCTAAGCTACCTTGTATTGAAATCAAATGATCTGTTCCATCAGTGACCTAACAAATACTGGATAGACAGCCAGTCACAACCAACTCAGTTAAGTCTTTATTGTGAGACCTTTCCCAGTGCAGAAAATTAGCCCACACTTCTATTGAGAGATTTCTCCATTCCCAGTCTAGATAAGGAATAAACCGAGGCTAAGTCTCCTCCTTTCTCATACCTTGAATATTTTGACTGCCTATGGTTTTAATATTTGAGTTCTAACTGTATGTCCCGCTGATAATTGACTCTAGAAAAATAGGCACATGTACAGCTATCTTGGGAACCTGGTTGTCTATCTGTATCTGCATGTGCCCACAATTGCATCCCGCATGACCCTGACGCTGCCACTGGGCGGTCCAAGTAGAGTAACATACAGAAAGTGATTACATTTAAGGTGCCTGGTGACAAGGCCAGTACTGGGAGAAGTCTGTTTTGAGTGGAAGACTTTACTTTGGCCAACTGTGCCAAACTTTGGTAACTATCTGCCTAGAACGACTTCTAACTCACCCATTGAGAGTTTGCATGTCATTCCAGTACATGGTCTACTGTGAGACTTACAGAGTAGTAGCAAAATAACTACATCTAATTATGCTGTGATCTTATGTTGAGACTGGAATCCTTTGAAAGTACAAGCTCTGTCTTCAAGTCACCATCCAAATCTAAAGGGAAGTTATCCATAAATCTTGCAACGCAACACTGTGTAGCAGACACTCATCTTATCTCCTCTGAAATCAAAACTGTATAGGTGTCCCGATTGTTGTAACAGTCAGAGTGTTCAGGAGTTTACAAGAAATGAATTTCTAGGAACTCAGAAAAGAGAGGAAGAGAAAAGAGCATTGCCAAGTTGAATTCAGCTCATCCTTGTTGCTTTTGATGCCATTTTGCCTACGTAAATCTCCACAGTGTTCCAGCCCCTGATGAGTCACATCTTCCGTCATCTTCAGATCAGGAAATGATCATCTGTGTCAGAGATACCTTGATTTGGTCTTCCCCAAGCTCATTTTCTAGGATGTCCTAGAGCATCTACATTGCAAAGGTTGAGATGATGTGTGATTAGAGCCAGAATTAGAGGAACACAATGCCATGGCTTTGCAGGTTTGGCTTCAATCAAGTACTCAGAGCCTTGATTAAAGATACTACTAAGGAATTGGGCCAGGCGTGGTGGCTCACACCTGTAATCCCAGCACTTTGGGAGGCCAAGGCAGGTGGATTACCTAAGGTCAGGAGTTAGAGACCAGCCTAGCCATCATGGTGAAATCCCGTCTCTACTAAATAAATACAAAAATTAGCTGGGCTTGG